TTCAATACCAGCTGGATCTACGGAGTGAGTTCCAGAACAGCCAGGGCTGTTGCATAGAGAAACCCTGTCTCAAAATAAATAAATAAATAAATAGATAAATAAATAAATAAATAAATAAAGTGAAAAGAAAAGATCACAAACAGAAGCAGTTTTGAGGGAAATGTAAGGGGCACTGGGCAGAAGCACTCTGGACAGAGGCTTGTTGCTCCTGAGAAGAGTCCAGCCGGCTCTGCCTCCATTGAGGCTTTCTGCTGATTTCCAATCGGGTTGCAGTCAACACTGGCCCTATAAAGACGGCAGAGGGCCCCTGCCCAAGGATGTTTCCCCAGTCTTCTGGCCTGCAGCTGACAGTGCAGGGATTCACGAGCCAACGCCCCAGACAGCTGTTGGCAACACATGGGCGATGAATGATGATCGTATGTATGGGAGCCAAACACCTGTTACCAGCCACTCTCAGCTTTCCTGCTAAAGCCCTGCCTCCTGGGAATTCTGGTTTTACCACTGTGGGACGTCTAAACCACAAGCAGGAAAAGGCTGTGTTGTATATGAAGGCCTGCGTGGCCTAGAAACTAAGAGCTGTCCCAGAACAAATGAGAACCCTTGTCAATCCAAAGAGAGCACCCATGGGTGGAGACAACTTTTGGGTAGCCTGCTCCAAGCAAGGATAACTGCTGGGTAGCACAGCCTCTGAGAGGAGGCACAAAGGGGTTCTGCATTTGCAAAGACAGACACTTCTCCACTGAGACCAGATAGAGGAGATGCAAAATGCACAATCACAAATCAGGTAGTCTCTGTTTTAGAGAGGGCCCAGTTAGTGGCAGCCCTGGCAGCTCAGCCTCCCTCTGCTGGTCTTCCCTGGCCATAGCTATACAGCCTGGCCTCCAGGCACACATCCTGTTGACTATAGTCTTTGGGACATCTGACTAATGTCATTATGCCATTTTCTCCAAGGTCCTTGAAAACCTTCCACATGCCACTGACTCCATCAAGTGGGTATATCTTGGTGGGCACACCCTGCCTGGTTCCAGAGAGCTTTCACTCTCACATCTTTCCCTTGGTGATCTTCTTTGAAGGCTTCTACAAATGATTCAATCACCTTCATTCAGTTCCTGGACCATTACATTACTCCAGCAAGATCCTGAATCCAGGGCTGAGAAGATGGATCAAGCTAACAAGCATGAGTCTGAGTTGGGAACCCTAGCACTGGGGAGGCAGAGACAGGCTGCTCCTTGGATAAATGTATTGGCCATCTAGCCTAGCCAAATGAGTCAGTTCCAGTAAAAAGTGGGGAACCCTGCATCAAAAACAAGTTGCAGAATGACTAGAAAAGACACCCAAGTTTAACCTCTGGCTTCCACACACGTGCACATATACCTGTGCACATACATGTGTGCACATGCACGCACACACATGTACACACAAAAAAGATCCAGCATCCCCTCTATTCTGGAACTGTTTGAGTCAGACTTTAGGGACCTGAGGCTGGGGGAACCTGCAGAGCTGGCCTCCTGGGGGCTCCCTGTGCTGAGGCTAGCCCCAACCCTGCAAGTGCACGTGTCTCCACTACCCCAACTCCTTGCGCTCTTCAGCTTCAACTGGGGTTTTCTCAAATGTGATCACAGATTCTCAGCTCACAGTCAAGGCTCTTCTTGCTTTACAGATGTTGGTTGAGGTGAGGGCTCTGGGCCCTTAGCTCCTTTCTTACTTAGATAAAAACATAAAACAAAGACTTGTAGACTGCTTCAGATAGGGTTGACTCTGGGAAGAATCTCGGAAAAAGAGTGATTGTCATGATACCTAACGATTCAAGTTGGAGTGTGCCTAGAACATCCTTTCTTTGTATCCATTTTATTGAGATAGAATTAGGCATCCCGAAGCTCAAGTGTACAATTCAGCAATTTTAAGCATTGGGTTCTGAAACAATAGCCACAATCTAATTTTAGAACAATTTCATTATCTCTAGACAAGTCCCACGCCCAACCCCTTCTAAGCATGTCCACCCCTCCTCCCAGAACCTTGGCAACCTTTAATCTACTTGACAACCCATTTGGACACTTCATATACACAGACTCACACAGCATGTAATTTTTCTGTGACTGGACTCCTCACGGGCACACTGGAACATTTCTTTCATGTTAGTGCAGAATAATATTCTCCACTACAGCAGACCATTATTTTTATTGGACAGTGAAGTGTATTTTTGTTTATACATTTTCATTATGAAAAAAAAAATGCACTCAGTGGGCAAGTTTTTGCCTGGTTGGCCATCTTCATTACTCTTCGTAACTTTGTGTTTAGAGGAAACCCCACCATTTCATAGTCTCAGCAGTGATGTGTGAGGGAGATAGTCTCTCTGCCCTTGCCAATACTCGCTGCCTAAAAAAGAAAAGCACTCATCAATGACAGCAGGTAAGCAAAAGTTGGAAAGGAGTGTGGTGATAAATTGTGATAGTATTTTGCACGAAGCTGGGGCTTTGGGCGTCTACATCTTTAAGCACAAGGGTGATTCCATTAGTGAGTCTATATGCGGTCTATAGGACCTCCTAGAAGAGAGAAAACTTGATGTCTGTGTCCTGTACCCTCAGGGACTTTGAGACCAAAGTTTCCTAACTACAGCGATGCTGGAGGAGAATGTGCTTCTGTTTTCTGTGGGGTTGGTTAGTACCAACCACTGAGTCATTCTTGCAGGAGGTTTGTCTGAGTTGCCGGGCAGCAAGTTACCTGGAAGTGATGCTTTGCCATGAGGGTAGCAGGCGATCTTCCGGCATGACATCAGAAAGCCATCAGCATGGGAATGCAACACTGAAGGCAATAGGGGTCCAAGACCAGACCGAACATCCCTGACTCCACTTTCAAGGATGCTCCGGAGGAGCACAAAGGTAGTGTTCCTGTCCCAGAGCACAAGGATGCTGCTCAGGCTCCCAGCTAGCCTCTGTACTGCTCTTTGCAGAAGGCAGGATTTAGCTGGTGTATCCCAGAAGCCTCTTTGACCAAGAGTATTTCCTTACACTCCCAAGCTGGGTTTTGGGGTATGCTCGGGGGTTCACTGCGTTTTTATTGTAGTGTGCATGAGCCCCTGGATTCCATGATCTGACACGAGAAGAGTCAATCTAGGGTTTGTTCCCTAGCTGAAAAGATGAAGTGGGAGGATGCCACTCTTCTCTCTGGGGGGAGGAGGCAGGAAGTGTAATAAGGCTGGTTGGTGGGAAGACACTGCCAGTGAAGTGCTGACCAGCAAGCATGAGGACCCAGTTCCATCCCCAGTGCCCATGTAAAAACGTAGGCCGGAAGGGGATTGTGTTAAGGCTAAGGAGGTGAAGTCAACAGATGTCTGGCCAGCCTAGCTCCGTTGGTGAGCCACAGGTTCCAGTGAGTGACTCTGTCTCAAAAAACAAGATGTATTTTGGAAATAATTTCTGGTGCACGCGTGTGTGCATGTGCATGTGCACGCCGTGTGTGCATACGCGCGCACGCGTGCGCGCGCGCACGCAGACACACACACACACACATATAGTAGAGGGATTGGCGTGGTTCCGAACCAATGAAAACAGCACCTGGAAGAACACTGCGAAACAGAGGCAAGGCGGCAAAAGGCCCATGCCGTGGGAAAGAGACGGTGACGAGGACCTGGAGGCAGAAAAGTGGACCAATGAGCAGACAGAGCAAGACCGCTTGAGTGGGCCTCGCAAAGCCGGATCCCTCAGACTCTTCTGGGCTGCAGGCCAGCTCTAGTTTGTGCAGAGGGCATGAGGGTGGTCTCAGGCAGGTCACTGCCAAGCTCTAGAAGAGAACTTCGCGGAAGTAGCCGACCCAGCTGCGGTGACACTGTTGAAGCCAGGGCAATGAGAAACAAAACGGGATTCAAAACTACTTTGGAGAAGGAATGGGTTGACTTCAGTCATCAGAAACCTAAGTCTGACCGAAGTCATCCAGAAATCTGAGACTGACCAAAGCGAAAACCTTTTCTGCTGATGTCAAGCCCAAAAGTCATAATTCAAAGGGAGAGCAACATCAAAGAATTGAGAAAGGTTTGATGGACAGCTCAGAGGGTAAATTGTTTGCTGCCCAAGCCTGAGGACCTGAGTTCGAATGCTAGAGACCACGTAAGGGTTGGGTGTGTTGAAAGCTGTCTGCAGTCCTATTGCTGCAAGGTGGAGACAAGGAAAAAAGAGAAGGCTCATGTTCAGTGTGAGACCCTGTCTCAAAAAAACAAGGTGGAGCGCAGTTGAAGAAGATCCCTCTTGCCTCCAGGGGCAAGCGGAGACGAGATGGAGAAATCTGCAAAGGAAGTTAAGACCCGCTGCAGGGTCCGTGCGAGGAGGAGCGACCCATGGACCTCAGAAGCTCCAGAGAGCAACAGCTCACCTGCTGTACTGTTTTGCAGATTCGGGACCTTGTTCTGCAGAGCAGTTGCAAGGAGAAGCAGCCTGGCCTCAGCTGTCACCCACGGGTGACCCGACGACGTCCGCACGGGCGGCCGAAGAGGCCAAGCCTGGAACTACACTTCCCAGTGTGCCAGGCGGGCGGGGCGCGGCGGGGAGGGCGCAGGCTCCTTCCCAGCAGCGAAGGCGGAAACAAAAGAGCCCGGCG